TCCCTGTACTCTAAGCACCAAAAACCGATCAAACCAGCAGACAAAGGGGACACCAATTGGGAAGACTACAGTAACGTGGTCAACCAACATCTCTCCAAAACCACCTAATGAAGAGAACTCAAAGATGACCCCACATCACGCTCTCCCTAGGAATTGAAGGGTATCATCAAAGCAGTTGGTCCAATAAAAGATATTACCTCAGCCACCTTGTCTCTCTTATCACCTCTGAGTGACAAGCATATGTGCCAAGTGATTATGCAGGGGGAGAGAGAAATGGGATGATGAAGACCATCATGTCTGGGTGAGGTCTGCTTTGGGGATGCTAAATCCCCAGCCCCGCCCCTTCTGCCAGAGGCCCCGCCTCTACTCCGCCCCCTGCACGCACCCTTTGCCTGCTGAAGACTTAATTCCTCCTCCCACCTCAAGGTCGGAGAAGCGCTGGCTGAACCACCCCAACCCTCAACCGGCCGGAGCACTGATCCGCACCTCCTGGAGCAGAAGACGTAGCTAAGGCTTTTTATAAACAACTAACGGAATCAGTCCAGGACGTGGTGATGTTGAGGGACTTCAGCTAGTCAGACATCTGTTGGGAAAATAACACAGCACGGCACAGATGGAAAAGGATAAATATAGTGCCCATCCATAAAAAGGGAAATAAGGAAAATCCAGAGAAATATAGAACAGTCAGCTTAACTTCTATACCTGGAAAGGTAATGGTGCAATAATTAAGCAATCAGTTTGCAAACATATGGAAAATGCAAGTTGATAAGTAACAGTCGGCATGGATTTGTCAAGAACAAATCATGTCCAATCAACCTGATCATTTTCTTTGATAGGATAACAAGCCTTGTAGATGAGGGAAGGTGGTAGACTTCGTATATCTTGACTTCAGTCAAGCTTTTAATGCAATCTCGCATGATCTTTTATAAACAAACTTGGGATGCGTTAACAGGAGTATTGTGAACAAGACACAAGGGCTGTGTTTAGACTGGCCAGTTTTTCCGGAAAATCAGCCGCTTTTCCGGAAAAACTTGCCAGCTGTCTACACTGGCCACTTGAATTTCCGCAAAAGCACTGACTTCCTACTGTAAGAAATCAGTGCTTCTTGCGGAAATACTATGCTGCTCCCGTTTGGGCAAAAGTCCTTTTGAGCAAAACTTTTGCGCAAAAGGGCCAGTGTAGACAGCTCAGATTTGTTTTCCGCAAAAAAAGCCCCGATGGCGAAAATGGCGATTGGGGCTTTTTTGCGGAAAAGCGCGTCTAGATTGGCATGGACGCTTTTCCGCAAAAAGTGCTTTTGTGGAAAAGCATCTGTGCCAATCTAGACACTCTTTTCTGAAAATGCTTTTAACGGAAAACATTTCCGGTAAAAGCATTTCCGGAAAATCATGCCAGTCTAGACGCAGCCAAGAAGTCATTCTTACACTCTACTCTGCACTGTTTAGGCCTCAGTTGTAGTATTGTGTCCAGGTCTGGGTAGCACATTTCAAGAAAGCTGTGGAGAAATTGGAGAAAGTCCAAAGAAGAGCAACAAGAATGATTAAAGATCTAGAGAACATGACCTATGAAGGAAGACTGAAAGAATTGGGCTTGTTTAGTTTGGAAAGGAGAAGACTGAGAGGGGACATGAGAGCAGTTTTCAGGTATCTAAAAGGGTGTCACAGGGTGGAGGGGCGAAAATTGGTCTCCTTGGCCTCTGAGGACAGGACAAGGAGTAATGGGCTTAAACTGCAGCAAGGGAGGTTTAGGTTGGACATTAGGAAAATCTTCCTGTCAGGGTGGTGAAACACTGGAATAAAATGCCCAGGGAGGTTGCGGAATCTCCATCGTTATAGATATTTAAGAGCAGATTAGACAGACATCTATCAGGGATGTTCTAGATGGTGCTTGGTCCTGCCATGAGGGCAGGGGACTGGACTTGATGACCTCTTGAGGTCCCTTCCAGTTCTAGTGTTCTATGATTCTATGAAATGCATCCTAGATGGAACTACTACAAGATGGGTGCAAAACAGAGTGGAAAACCATGCCCAGAGAGTGGTGCTAGAGTGTTACTGGAAGGGCATAACGAGTGGGATTCCACAAGGATCAACTATAAGTAAGTGCTACTCTGCACGGATCAGGCCTTGATTGGAGTACTGTATCCACATTTCAGGAAAGATGGGGAGAAATTGGTAAAGTCCAGAGTAAAGCAACAAAAAAGATTAAAGGTCTAGAAAACATGAGCTATGAGGGAAGATTGAACAAACTGGGTTTGTTTAGTCTGGAAAAGAGAAGACTGAGAGGGGACATGAGAGCAGTTTTCAAGTACTGAAAAGGGTGTTCCAGGGAGAAGGGAGAAAAATTGTTCTCTTTGGCCTCTGAGGATAGGACAAGAAGCAATGGGCTTAAATTGCACGCTTTCAAATTGCCGACAGTTCTTTATACAATACATCTGTATTTTCCACTGAATTCCTTCACTCCTTGCATTTCCCTCACTGGCTGTGGGCATGTTGACTTGGGATGGTTCTGAAGAAAATGTTAACAAAAGAATGAAACCCTAAACCTTCTGCATAATTAAAAACAAATTTTCATGGGAACCCTACACTCTCATGATGTAGGACGTAAAACCTGCCATGATGTAGGATGTAAGCCAAACAGTAACTGATAGGATCAGGCAGAAACTTCCCATAAAGGGAGGTTATTTGTGTCGGCTACAGGTTTATTTCCACTTTCCTCTGAAGGCCCCAGTAGGCAGATCCAGTCTGACAGTTCTTATGCTCGTTTGTAAAACAGAAGAAAATCGGGAGAAAAAAAAATCCATCTGGGTTCTTAACGTGGACAAGCTCCCTCCGACATGCATCAGCGTGGTGTTGTGCTCCAAGAGACATCCAATCCCCCAAATTACCACAATCTTGGGGTACATCTCCACAGCAGTGTTATTTCAGAATAGTTGACGTTATTCCGAAATAGCATCATGTGCGTCTCTACAGCAAGCCGTTATTTCGAAATAATGTCGAGCTGGAGGACTTCTGACTCGGCCTCGTGTAAGCCTCGTTACACGAGGAGGAAGGGAAGGCGGAGGAACAGTTCTTCCTTCGGCTTCCTGCAGTGTAGTTTGGCCAAAAGCCAAATGAAGCTATTTTGACTTCAGTTACGCAATTGACGTAGCTGCTGTCACGTCACTGAATTCAACTTGGCCCTGCGGTGGAGACGCACCCACAGTAATTTAAAACAAACATTGCCGAGCCATGCGCCACAAAAGGCAAGGGAAGACAATGCCTCCTCTGGGTCTTAGTGCTCAACATGTCCCATATTCTGACCATATCTACAAGCTCCCCCAGCAGCCTCGCTCAGCCGTGTGAGTCTCCCCCTCGCCCCAGTGGATCTGTTAACTTAAAAGCGAAAAGCCTTCCAGCAGCTTGCCAGACCTATTAGCCTAACACTGGACCTGTGAAAGAGCCATGAAACGGCAATGAAGCCATGGAGCAGGCATGTGCCAACCTGTCAGCTTCTGAACGTGCTGAGAAAACCAGCTGTGCACGACCGTAGTCGTTGAATATTTGCTGTCAATATTTCCCTAGTTTGTGGCTGAAGACTATAAAAATCACAGCTCTAACAAATCCTGACATAGATATTTAAATGCACAATCTGTGTATTCTTAAATGCGTGCATCTTCAAACATACCGTTTTTAAATACGTTCTTCAGAAAACCACCTTTTTCTAAAATACACATTTTAATTTTCAGTACTATCGGACAAACACTTGCTTTCAAAATCTTCCTCTCCTTTCATCCTCCTGTTGAAGAGAACCCTTCCAGATAGCTGGAAAAATGAGTTTCCCTTTTTGTTTTAGTCTGACTATTTGATTAACTAGTTTTAAGAGAATCCTTCATCATGATCAGTATCTTGGTAAGGTATAGTATCAGAGGGGTAGCTGTGTTAGTCTAAATCTTCATGAACAACAAGAAGTCCTGTGGCACCTTATAGACTAAGAGATTTACTGGAGCATAAGCTTTTGTGGGCAAAGATGAAGTGGGTCTTTGCCCATGAAAGCTTATGCTCCAATAAATCTGTTAGTCTACAAAGTGCCACGGGACTTTTCATTGTTTAGTAAGATATAGAAGCCTTTGTTTTGCTTGACATCTTTGGAAACCAATTTGTAACAGGCACCTACGATGAAATTTTGTCAGCATATCTGTTATGCTGACACACAAAATAAAGTAGTGTTCCCTTTTTTCTAAAAACCATGAACACTGCTAACCCATATTGACTGCTTAGGGAATGGATTACTTGCTGGAGGATTCTCTGCATCTTGGGGTCTTTAAACCATCATTTGAGGACTTCAATATCTGACATATAGGTGGGAGGATTATTCTAGGAGTGGGTGGGTGAGATTCTGTGGCCTGCATTGTGCACGGGGTCAGACTAGATAATCATGGTGGTCCCTTCTGACCTTAAAGTCTATGAATCTATTTAAAATAATGCCTTTGTTTCAGTGCATTCAATATGTAGTAATCCGGAATGATTACTTTATGGAGGTTTAAGAGGGCATTTAAAATATAAACTCTGCTTAGAAATACTGATGAAGCAAATGTAAAACAGAGATGGGCTGCATCATGTATTCCATGCTATTTAACGCTGCATTCGGCGGAACAGCTGACTTCCCCTTCGTTTTTGCACATAAATCTGACAAACTTGAGGGTATATCAAAAAACCTGTGATGGACATTTTTTTTATTCCCAAATGTAGGGCTTTTAATGAGGTACCTTCCTCATGCTCAGTCTTCCCAGTCTGGCATGCAGGAGAAAACACGCGCCATTCTCTTTCGAAAGACATTTCGGAAGCGTGGTTAGGGATTTGGCTGGAAGGGGACAAGCATTCAGTGAGCAGGAATACAGGATGTGCAGGGAAGAGAGGAGGGAGGCAGTGGGGAGGGGGCGGGGCCTGGGCAGAGCAGAGATGGAGAATGGGCGGAGCCATGGGCTGGCGAGTTGGCTTCCCCAAGCTCATGTGCAGGACTATAAAAACTGCCCAGATGCAGCCGTGCTTATGCAGTCTGCAGAGACGGAGAGAAGATGAAGGCTTTCCTTTTCATCCTACTGGCTGTGGCCCTGGGCATGGAGCAAGGTAAGATCATCAAAATTTGTCTTTGCTAGTCAAAGAACGCGCCGATGAAAGAGAAATAGTTTAGAAATGGCGGGGGCAAGGGGTGTTTTTCCAGTGTCAGTGGTAAAGAATCTACCGTTAACAGTGCCCCAAGACGTGCCATATTTCTTGCGGTGGGGTCCTCCTCTATCCCAAGATGCAACCTGTGTCTCTCCCTGTGCCGAACCAAGCCATGACACAGTACCTTGTACAATTTACTAAGCTAAACAAGAAGTGCATGGAGGATAGACAAGCTTTATTACAGCCGCTGAAGAGCAGGTGTGTTGCACGGCTAACGGTGGGGCACGTTCACGGGGACAGCTGGTTCTGCTCCTGCTCTGCCGGATCTCATCGGCTTTGAAATGCAAAAGCCCTGGTCCAGCAAACCACAGCCTTTGTGAGATGTTGGCTGCGTGTGAGTCAACCTGGGGCAGGTGCCAGGACTGCTGACATGTGAAGGTTTCTCAGCTTGGCGTGTTTGGGGAATGAGAACTAGGCAGGGATGAGTCTGATCAATGCCTGTTAGAGGAAACCTTACAGGGGAACAGGGCACCACGTTTATAGGTTACAGCCTCTCTGCAGCAACCTGTGAAGAAGATGCTGTGGCGGTAGGTAACCTACAAGAGTTGCTGTTGAAAGGCACATCAGCAACGAAAATTGTCTGACCAGTTTCTACAGCTGTTATCGGTGACCCCTGGGGTTACTGTTTCGGCAATCAGGAAAAAAACCAACCCCACCTTTGTTCCTATTTTCCCCAGTTGCTAGGGACATTTCCTAGTTTCCAGTTTCCTCTGTTCTATTGTGTCACTTCACGTCTCCGGGGGAGAGAAAGCACATTAAAAAGGAAGCAAAATGTCATTCTAAGCCAAGGCTATGCCTACACTATTCTGAAATAGATCATTTCGAATTAGCACGTCTACACTGCAAAGAAGCCTCAAAGGGTATGTCTACACTGCCACCCTAATTCGAACTAGGGTGGCTAATGTAGGCATTCGAAGTTGCAAATGAAGCCTGGGATTTAAATATCCCGGGCTTCATTTGCATCTTGCCGGGCGCTGCCATTTTTAAATCCCCATTAGTTCAGACTCCGTGCTCGTGGCTACTCGAATTAGGCTCTCTAATTCGAACTACCGGTACACCTCGTTCCACGAGGAGGCAGTGTAGACATACCCTTAGTTATTTTGGAATAACAGCCGTTATTCCGAAATAACTTTGCTGTGTAGACACACTCCAGATTTTGATAGATTAGATTCAGGTGCAGGGATAAGACCAGACTTACATTTTAACTCTTTTCAAAACAGACTCCGGGCTCATCCGGAGAGAGAGCTGCACTGCTTTTATTGAAGGTGTGAATTTCAGGCAATGTATTTAAACTGCCGCAAACCCTCACGTGGCTGCTTTCACGTTGGTATTAGAGAGGTTTGTGGCAACGTCAGCTGAGAACAGCTTTAAACTAACCCGAAATAAAGGCTCTCTTCAACCAAAATAAAAGTGTCCACACAGTGGTTTGCAGTGGCTTGTCTAATTTGGTTTGAAACCAGTTTAAGTTAAGCTGGGGAAGTTTTCTCATACTGCCAAGCCGTGAAGAATTGAGTTGAAAGAGGCTCCTTAAAGTTCAAGCTAACACACTAAGAATGTCCTAGACGTGTACTGTTAGCTTCCATGGGCAAAACCCAGTTCTTCAGAGGCGCTTGAGTGGAAGGGGAAAAAAGAGGGGACCCTCTTTTTCTGTTATAAATTTTGAGGGTCCCCCATTTTTTCGCCACTCAAGGTCATCTGAAGAAGTGGGTTGGGCCCACAAAAGCACATGCTACTATATATTGTGGCTAGTCTCTAGGGCTGTGTCTACACTGCAGCACTATCCTGTATTTTCACAGCAAGCCTGGGACTTCGAAATGTCACGGGCGTGCTATTCCGACATCCCGGTAACCCTCATTCCACAAGGAGCAAGGCACATTTTGGAATAACGGGTTGTTTCGAAATTTGGCGCTGGGTAGAAAGTACGACGTAAGCTATTTCGAAATGCGATCAAAGTAAGATACACAATTTGCAAAGGTCAAATTGTGTCGCTTCTTTCGACCTCCGGTGCAGTGTAGTCGCACCCTAAGGTGCCACAGGACTGCTCGTTGCTTTTACAGGTACAGACTCACACGGCCTCCCCTCTGAGACTTTTAAGACTGCCCTGTTCATTGTCGCAGGTACAACAAAGGATGGAGCATCCTTTTTGGGTGGGGTCACTGCCACATGCTGGCAAACATTTAGACAGCGTCTGACCATTCTTCACCCTCAGCCCTACCCCAGATCTGATGAGAAACAGTCTACAGGCAATGGCCTCCCAAATTGCTCTCAATCACCTTAGATTCTTGTCCAGAAATCAGGAGCTGTTCAGTCTTCTGGGATGCCGAGCAGGAAGCAGCCAGGCAATGTCACTTAGTAGGCAGCTCTTAACCAAGTCCAATGTCTCTTTCAGCAGGCACCCCGCAACTCCAGTTAGGTCTTCTTTTCTGCAGATGGACTTGTTCCAGCCAGCACCTGGAACGTCTCTTTGACATTGTCGCTATCAACACCTTTCCTAAGGAACTCCCTTCAGCTCTTTAATCACAGATCTGATTCGGAGCGGGCGGGGGGAGAGCTGTAGGAGGAGTTGCTCCTGTCCTACTTGCTTTGCAGACGCTTTGCAGACGAAGCATGCCTCTCCCCCACCCCCATCCCTCGGAGAACAGCGCTAGTTTATTTTCTACAAGGAAATAAAATTGATCTGCAAAGAGCTGGGGAGTAAAGACCTTTTCTGAGCTCTGCTGTCTGCAGACTGGGGAGAGCAGGCAGAGAAAGTCAGAGGAGAGTCCTGCTGAGATGCAGATATTATTGGCTTGGGTAAGGCAAGGAAGAACCTGGAGGAGGTAGGGTTGAGGGAAACTCCTTAAGTTAATTGCTAAAAATATTTGCAAACAATAACTAGCTTTTTTCCTTCTACAGGTTGAACGTCTCTAGTCCGGCACTCTCTGGTCCTGATCGGGCATGAGTTTAGTTAGCTGGATGTCCACTTATCATGGGTGTGGCCAAGTTTTCTGCAATCCCATAACGGTTGTTGACGGCCACCAGTCCTGGCTCTCAGTGTTCTGTGCTGTTATTTAGTTGTTATGGACCCTTAAATGTCTTCTAAGAGCCCATCGTGTAGCACAGTGGTCCTCAACCTTTCGGGGCTGCCAGGCATCTGGGGGTGGGGCCGGTCATGCGCCGTGCAACCAGGGCTGGCGCCGCGCATGTGCTATGTGTGACGTAGTGGGGGGTACCTTGCTGGTGGCTATGCTGGGCAGTGGGCTGTGGGTGACCTCCACTGGCTGCTGGCTGTAGCACGGCCCAGCAGGGCAGGGGATGAGTCATTATGCAAAGGGGGGCTCCAAATCTGTCCAACCAGCTACCCCCAATGGAGAGAAACAAAGGAAGGTGGAATCCCACCCCTGACACCAGTGTGACGGCGCGTTGGGGTTTTCCCATCTCCTGCACCCCCGTAATGGCACAGACAGACTCCACCAGCCAGTAGAATAGAGGCAGTTTATTGCTTCTCCCGGATACAGCACAGCACAGATGTCATCTGGTTATAGGAAGTGGGGCTAAGAGGCCTCAGTGCCCCCCCTTGAGATGGGGGGTGGCTGGGCCCTACAATCCCAGCCCCCTCCCTAGCTCCTTCTCCCCTGCTTCCCAGACCTCCACCAGCCAGTAGAACAGAGGGAGTTTATTGCCTCTCCAGGATACAGCACAGCACAGATGGAATCTGGTCACAGGAACTGGGGCTAGGAGGCCTCAGTGCCCCCCTTGAGATGGGGGGTGGCTGGGCCCTACAATCCCAGCCCCCTCCCTAGCTCCTTCTCCCCTGCTTCCCAGACCGAAACTAACTCTCTTCCAGCTCTGCCCCCCCAGCCAGGGCCGGCTTTCCACCTTCCTTTGTTTCTCCCGCTGGGGGGTAGCTGGTCAGACAGGTTTGGAGCCCCCTTTGCATAATGACTCATCTCCTGCCCTGCTGGGCCGTGCTACCGACAGCAGCCAGTGGAGGTCACCTGCAGCCCCACTGCCCAGCATAGCCCTCAGCAAGGTACCTCCCACTATGTCACACCATGTGCCCGGGGCAGGGGCCACCCATGCACCGTGTGCCCGGGGTAGGGGCCACCCATGCATTACATGCCCAGGGCTGGCACCGCGCATGAGCCGGGGGGGGGCCAGCCCAGATGATTCGGCAGGTGCACATAAATGCCCCGGCGGGCGCCGTGGCACCTGTGGGCACTGCGTTGGGGACCACTGGTCTAGCAGCACCCTGAAGACTAACAAAACATGTAGATAGTATCATGAGCTTTCATGGGTTGTTTTGTTAGTTTTCAAGGTGCTGCTAGACTATTAGTTGGTTTTTACGTTTGTCCAGTTACAGACTAACTCGGCTACCCCTCTGAATCCTCTAAGGGTGTGTCTAGACTACATGCCTCCTTCGACGGAGGCATGTAGATTAGGCAGATCGGCAGAGGGGAATGAAGCCACGGTTAAAATAAAAGCGG